GAAGGAAGGGGGGGAGGAGGGCTTACAGGATGATCAGCCACCCCCCTCTCCCCATGCCAATGGTGGGTGCTTGTCACTTGGTTTTTTTTTTAAGTTTATGCGTTTGCGGGCATTACAACTGGGAACAGCAATGATTTTGTCGACGAATCCTAGTCTGTTAGCAGTAGGTATGCCTTGTAGATACCCAACTGTGTGCTCGGGAGCGCTAACGCTTGTGGTGTACCGGTATGGACCGGTAGGTAGGTACCGGTAACGTACTCATGCGGTCGGGTAGTTTGAGTATCATGTGATTTGCCACTGCTACATCCTGGCTGTATTGATGGCACAAGACAAGTAACGTGATCCTCAAACTAGCCGAGATTACTAGTACAAAAACCCCTCTCTCTCTTCCCGTCCCGAAAGCGATACAAAATAGCGTGAACGGGATCTTCGGCACATGCATGGAGGGAGCGATGGTCATGGGTAGGCAGGCCGATCAGTGCCAGTGCATCTCGCGATGCCAACAGTGTAGTGTACCGGTATCTACCATGGTATGTGCTGTAGTATATGTACCTGCGTACAGATGGCAGAGCGCATAGGTACACCCAAGAGTGCCTTGATTGTGCACATCTTGCTTCTTTTCCAATCCATGCCATGTCTCTGACAGACTCACCCTTGCCGTGTAGAGTAGGTAATTGTATTTGTACCACCACAGCGATCAAACTATATTTAATGATGAGAGCGGGGCGGCCGAGGAGAACAGAGTTATGCATGTACGCTCAAGTTTAATGCAAAGCATGGGGGGGAAAGCTCGACAAAGCACCCCTGAGAGCGGAAGGCGCAGCCCGCAGCCCTACCGGTATCGAATTGCCTTGTCCGGGTCCACGTGCGCCATCTTGGAACGCGTCCACTTGATTCACCCACATTTGCTGCTTTCTCCCTACCTACTACCTACTCCTAGTACATAGGTACATACACACTTGTTTACAGTAACAGGACGCGTCGCTACTTACTCTGTATGGACTCTGTATGTCGTGGCGGCTGCTGCTGCTGCCGCTGCTACGACATGGGGTACCATGGCATTTTTATCACATACATCGCCATGTTCATCATGCAAATAAATGCATGCATGCCCCATCACACCCGGCCACACACGTCTCACCAGGTACCCAGTCCTGCAATCCTGCTGTCTGAGCCGGTCCACCATCTCTCTCTCTCTCTCTCACTCTTTCTCTTCTCCCTTCATGTCTTGGGCAAAGTCAGCAGCGGCGGCACTGTAGCTGGCCTCATTGGCTGCTGGCCTTGTTTTGCGTCGAGAGAGTTGAGAGCTAGGCAACCTGTTTACCAGAGCGGACAGTGGCTTGATGATTGCAATCTCCCTCTCTCGGCTATCCCAAAGACCAAGCCACGCCAATGACAGTCTGACACTCTGCCTCCACGGCTACTTTCTATACTAGTTCCCGGAAAGAGATGCCACCAGGCCTCGACGACTTCTCCATGCTTCAGCCTGCCGGATTAAGCCTCTCGCTTCACGAAACGGGTTGAGAATCCTGTCCAGCTGTGCCGATATATGACATAGTGGACGTCTCCCGGTATCTACCCTGGCTTGCCCTTTCCTACTTGGTCCTGCTGCATCCTCTTGCCAACACCTCCACCACTTGCTTGTCCTGCTTGTCTCAGCCGACCACTTACTTTCCTTGACACTGACACTGCGATAACCACACCCACAGTCTTTACCTAACCCCCCTCTCTGCTTCTTTCTCCAGCCGGTTATCCTACCACTGCGCTTGTTGTCTTCGCTACGAGTAGCTACCCCTCGCGCCTTCCCTCTTCAACGTACTAGGACCTCTATCGAGCCCTCGAGGACATAATCTTAATACACCCATGGCATTACTTGCCTATTGACCTATTACCGACAAAACTAATAATCTGGCACTATGCGCCCGTCCCTACGTTCTTTCATTACATTCTTCGCGCTCCTTTTTTGTATACATGCAGTGGCGGCGGCACCTCATGCTGCTGTGCGCCGGCAAGACGACAGTCAGGCTGAGATTCGGTCAGGAGGTGACATCACTTCTGCTCGACCTACCGTCACTCCATCGCCGTCAGGGACAAGACTAGATTCGGCTCCCACTCCTTCAACAACACCTTTATCAATCAGTCCATCAGAGGCACCGACTTTGAGCACCACGAGTCATGTATCAGCTACATCTACTGTCGACCAGTCCATCCCTCAGAGTACTGCCGGTATGTCTTTTGACGATGAGTAGCATATATCTTCTAACTGTCATCTTGTAGATGCTGCTCCCGATAACCCATTACCCATTCAGCCTAGACTCAATCCTGCCATGGGACTGACTGGCGTTGTTTTGCTCATCAGTGGCTTAGTGTATGCCATTATTGGGATCAAGAACAAGTGGTACGCAGTATGGTTCACTCCCCCCAACGGATACTGATCACGCCTAGGGTATATGTGTTCGGATCTGCAGCATACCTCACCGCACTCTCAGTATCAGTCTTGATCGTATACTTGATGAGTCCGCCAGTGTCCAATGCAGTACAAGGCGCTTTTTTCGTGGCAGCTTTCGTCACGGGACTCATTTTTGGCGCCTTGTCATTGGTCTTTGCAGACATCACTGAAAGCTTTGGGTGTTTGCTGG